ACTGTAAGGGTGTGTGTAAGGGTGTGTGTAAGGGTGTGTGTAAGGGTATGTGTAAGGGTATGTGTAAGGGTATGTGTAAGGGTATGTATAAGGGTATGGGTAAGGGTGTACATAAGGGTGTGCGTAAGGGTATGCGTAAGGGTATGTGTAAGGGTATGTGTAAGGGTATGTGTAAGGGTATGTATGACTGTGGAAAACTTACCTCAAATTGTGCTTTAATATTTCTGCAGAGATTCAGCACAGATTTCACGTTACCATCAATAAGATCTAAAGAAATAAATGGTAAAAATTAGAATAAAAGTAGGAAATCTAGTTGTTTCTATTACTAAGATAGTAAGGTACAAGTGCTTCCACATGAATAGATAACAACCTCATTGTTTATACTTGTAGATACATTCTGAAACATCAAAATTTTATCCCCTCTGGCATTAGTTCAGATTTTAGCATTTGCACCTCTACAAAGTGGCTCCTTTTGCAATTTAGAAAGGTTGAATTAGAATTCTGTGCACTGGGAAGAAAATTGAAGAACACAGAAAAAAAAACCCTTGCAGCAAGGAGGGGAACCTGAACAAGAAACTTGAAGAAGAATATAAAACAACCTCAATCCCCTTTATTATAAATCAAGACAGCCAATCAAAATGGGTACAAATACATGTTTCCTACCTCCAACATAAATTCCCTGCAGGTTTATATTTCTGTTTCCCATGAAACTCATACATAGCTGTAGATTTTCTAGTTTTTGTGCCCTGGTTACTGGACGAGCATAAACGCCCGGGATCTTCTGACCAGCTGAAAGAAAAGAAGAGGTGATCAGTAATCATACGGTACAACTGCATGCAGCAGTCACATCTAAACCACAGAGAAACAAAGTACATCAAACAAAGTACATCTCACTATAAGCATGTAACTGAGAAGTATTGATGTTGAAGCTTAAATGTGGTGGCATTCTCTTGTATTGGAGGAAGAAATCATTTCATTTTTAATTAATAGGGAATGACATCTCAGGCCGCAAACTTCATCAAGCCGCAAACTTCATCAAGCTACAAATATATGCGATAACAAGAAACTGTGTGTTTAATGTTACAGCATGAAGTGTATGAGTTTCACTTCTAAACAGAGTTCAAGGAGAACTTGTTTAATCAAACAGAGCAAGAATACCTACCATGCAATAAAAAGACATATTACTTGCATGAAAAATGTTTAGTAAAAAATTATTTTGAGTAAAAAGACTTAAAACAAGACAGAATATTGAATTATCCACAGATTACAGACAAAAACAGCAAATCTTTTTCTAACACTAAGTACAGTACCATGTCAACAAACATGGATTAGACAAAACCAAGGATGCCAACATCACTAACATCAAAGAGAAAAACACAACTTGTTTACTTCTTCTTTTCTGCCATTTCAGCATTTTCACATGATCATAGTAGCTTCAAAAACCCATCGCCAGCCACATTGAAAATAATAACTTCACTGCCAGCAATCAAGGGCTATGATGTACCATTTGATGTGCCAAAGTAATACCGATGTGAATTTGACAACTATGCTATACTCCAATGAATTTGTATAATGCCAAAATTAGTTCATAAGAAATACAGTGATTGTTTAAGTGTTTGCTGACAATACCAGTGGACTGATGAGTTGACAGAAGCACACTCCATCACAATTTCGGGAATAAACAAAGTGCATTTAGGAGATGCCTCGGCACGAGTTCTAACCACTAACTCAGAAATATAGTTATGGCCACAGGATCTCTCAAAGCAAATCAACTCACTCTGGTTTCATAGGTACAAAAAAAAATAATTCTCACTAAATACATCGGCTTTTGATTGTGCTTATTTGGTGTCAAACTAATAACAGAATGTATAGGAAACAAAGGACTGGCACTTTCTTTAGATTATGTTTGAACAATGACTGCCCTTATTTGCATATTAATAACATGTGGAGTTGTTGATATAAAGAGCTCATTGAGCGACAATATGATTGTAATAAAGTTATCCCTCAGTGTGATGAGCATATTAATTCTCATTAAAATTGCAATGTTGCAATGAGAATGGTGAAAATTGCCAACAAGGACACACCACTGTACTGGTGAATATGCATCCTAAATGAATGGTAGGGAATTTTTCAACAAACATGTCAAATAATAGGAAATACCAACAGATCATAGATAAATAAAATCCACAGTTTCTTTGCCCCTCAACTGTCAAAATCTGATAGTAATCCCTCTTCTTCACACAATACACTTCCTCGTGAATTAGTCTATGAGATAATTTGGTGTTATATGGCGCTATCAAAATGAGGGAGATCTGTTCTTCACTTAAGAGAATTTCTCATCACCTTTTCCCGAGATAGTGGTTGATTTTGTTGGGAGAAGTTACCAGAGTATCATGTTTAAGAGATGAAAACCTTTATCTTGATTTAATATTCTCATTTCCTGTCGGTCTATCGGTGTATTGGAGTGATTAGGCCACATGTAAATGAGATGTAAACGCCACGGTTGAGATGGTAAGTTTGAGTCCTCTCATCGATCCGTAACCTCCTCAGTCAGAATTATACATAAAATTTTAAGGATTTTAGAGCCACATTCTTCCATATTTGGCCAAAAAACACAAATAAATTATCCTTCAACATCGTGAACAACAAACGACAAGAGAAAGCTTCCTTGATACGGAAATACGGAAAAAAGTTTCTTGCGACACTTCGTCCCATGAGCGGAAACATGGACCGCAGACATCAACAATAGGGGGGCGATATTCGTTTTGTTTAGTTTGTGAGACTAAAACAGTCATATATATTACAAGCTGACAAGTATTGTATAACATCAATATTAGAACCGATGCTCAAATCTTACCTAAGGTTTCCAAAACGTAAACCAAGGTTTGGCCATCACCGATCGAACGGCGGATGTCGGAAATAAGTCTCCGCTTTCCTCTCTTTAACAAGTTGTTAGCCCAGAATGTGTGTTCCTTCGGATCAAAAAGCATAAATATTCCTCCATTGCTAATAACAGACACCGGTATTCTAGAATCAACATTTATACATTTGATGCGCTAAGAAGCTAGACAGTCTAAGTAAAGTATTAAAATTAAGGCATTAAAACACAAAAGCTCGGATGCTTTGAATAAACCCACTGAAATTGAAGAGAATCTAAATTGCGGTAATTGTAAAAAACAGTGCGTTTTGAATCAAATCACAACGGTTGTTAAAGCAATTTAAATGAAGTAATAATGAGGTAATGGTTATGCACCTCGCATTCCTTCAGAGCCCATTCTCCAGTTACGGAGACTTTGACCGGAGCGTTCTTCGAGTGAAATGCCGGGAATGTCGTTGCTTCTTTTTTGCCGCGCGGGTTGATGGCAGCAAACGCTTGTTGCGTTCCCTGAGCGACGGGATGACGACTCAGACCACTTTCTTGATGCGAATCTGTATTCTGAGCGGCTGTTGCCCTTGCCAGGGAGCTCGTAGGCTGCATTTCGACTTCATGTTGCCAGCTTTGCTAGTAAAAGATAACGAATATAGCGTTGACTCTAAATTTAGACTAGTTGTCAAAATGGAACGCATCACCAAAGAGATCGTAAGTGATCGAAAACAACAACTAAACCAACCACAGGCTTCCCGCCAACTCCGATTTTTAACTTCCTAGAATGTCCACGGGTGTGTTTTGTGTCCGTCATGGATAAAATCTTGAGTATTTTTCGCTAAGAACACATTTTGCAAAAGAGAAAACGAAAAGCGTATCCAACCCAATGTGGAGTTATGAAGTTTCTTGCTCTGACGTGCGTGTCAATTTCATCCTCAAACTATTGTCACTTTCCTATTGGCTAAGACTGCTCTCATCCGCTGGCAATTAACTTATTACTATGACTTTGTTGACTCAAGTACTGACAGTTTGCGTGCTCGAAAATCGGATTTCTCTGATATTTAGAGCATTATTAAATTTACTTTGACCACCCGAAAAAAATATACATCTCCGATGCTACCACTTAGTTTACCGTTTGTCTTCGGCGTGATTTTTTTGAGAAGTAATCCCCCTTTCCAGAAGGAGTTAACAATTAGCAAGATTGCGTGATGTTTCTTTCACAAATAGTAATTTCTCACGCAATTACTTTTTTGCAAAAGCTCTTGCTAACAAGCTTGTTTGGTCTTTGTTTGTGACAAGTTTCGAAATGAAGACGGAATCAATTCAAAGAGAAGATAAAAATTTAATGATAATGATTTGACCTCGTATCTGTAAAGTTCACTGTTTAATTAAACAAAATAATCAGCAATTCCAGACGTTCTAAGGTCGATTCGGCACTTCGTAGTAACATTTGTGATACAGTTATAGCGCTTAAGCGAACGTAAAAAGAAAAACAACAACTACAACAAAAACACGTATTCCTCTCCAGACTTCGACCCAATTTGCGTGATGTTTAAGCTCCAGACTTCGACCCAATTTGCGTGATGTTTAAGCACATTTTACGTAAGGAGTCCCTCTGGGAACCCATTCAGGTTCAGTGAAGCACATCAAGGTTAGGTGTTGTTCCTTTGTTTCTTTGACGTACATCTCTGAAAATTCACGCGAATCTTTGAGTAACAACTGTAACAAACGACATATTTACTGCATGTACACCTACGGACGACATAATACTGATATCTTGAGTTAAATACACAAATTCGATTAATTATGGACCTTGTTTTCGAGCTCAAACAAAGGCAGTCGGAGATCAAAGAGGCAAACAACAGTTACATCTGATCAAATGGGTGAGCTGAAGAAGACATATAAAAGAAACATAAATATTCACAATAGCTGTTTTTTGTTTAGTTTTTTTTTGTTTTTTTTTTTTCCTCTCTCTTTAGTTTTTTATGGTTACTGCCTCATGTGGAGGCGAAGCAACAAAGTTGTCTTGTTGAGTAAGTGAGCGTAACAATAGATTGCAAAGACCTCATAGACCACGACGAAGTCTGCCGAGTTTAACCCGATTTTGACTTTTGTTTGCTGTTTAAGAACATCTTGGGCAGTTCAACGCTTGGTGACAATCGCCTCCAATGTTACTCGGAATTGGCACGTTATCACACTGTTTCCCGATGCATGCTAATTAATGTTTGTTTCGGAGTACAAAAGAAGACGATATACTGTTATTAAAAACAAGACTTTTCTTTGGAGAAATAAATAACTTTGATTTGCACATCGTGGAACTTCGAATAATACTTTAATGATTCCAAAAGAGCGGATTTTACCATTTGAATTGGCGGCTAATGGCCTGTAGAGCCACTAAAGTTGCGAAGCTAGCATGGTCTGATTTGGGCCACCAGCCGCGCGATTGTCCATTAGTGGTCGTTCTGCCATTTTGCCCACTAGTGGCCGTTTTGCCATTTTCTCCACTAGAGGCTGTTTTGCCATTTTGTCGACAAGTGGCTATTTTGTCCACTAGTGGCCGTTCTGTCATTTTGCCCACTAGTGGCCGGTTTCATTTTGTCCCTTAGTGGCTCTTTTGACACTTTGGCGACAAGTGGCCGTTTTGCCATTTTGTCCGCTAGTGGCCGTTTTGCAATTTTGGCCACACGTGGCCGTTTTGCCATTTTTGCCACAAGTGGCCGTTTCTCCGTTTTGGCCACCAGTGGCCCTTTTTCCATTTTGACCTCTATAGTGGCTATGTGGCCATTTTGGCCACAGGTGGCCGATTTCGTATTTCGTCTACTAGTGGCCGTGTTGCCATTTTGGCCACAAGTGGCCGTTTTGCTTTTTTTTGCCACAAGTGGCCATTTTGCCTTTTTTGCCACAAGTGGCAGTTTTGCCATTTTGGCCGCTAGTGGCCGTTTTGCCATTTTGTCCACTAGTGACTGTGTAGCCATTTTAGCCACTAGTGGCCGTTTTGCCATTTTCGCGACAAGTGGCCGTTTTGCCATTTTTGCCACAAGTCGCCGTTTTGCCCTTTTGGCACAACGGCGAAACGACGACTTGTGGCAAAAATGGCAAAACGGCCACTAGTGGACAAAATAGCAAAACAGCCACTAGTGGCCATTTTGACCACTAGTGGCCCTTTTGCCACTTTGACG